TAGTCATGTGGCTTTAGAAAGTTAAGTTGTACTATCTGGATCCAAATACAGGAACGGGTCACTCCCGGACTGGCACAGTTCCTCTGGACCTGCTGAATGTGCTGTTAAAGGCCAGATGGATACTGTTTTCTCATTACTGCATGAGCATGAGTTGGGCTGGGCTGCATGGGCTATAATTACTATTTTCTTGTTGATTTGCTATGATTATTTTACTTGATATGCTGTTCTTTTTGTAAGCTCACCCTTGCATTTGCTGTTGTTGTGATGTTTGTGCTGCGATGATCGTACCTCGGTACATGAGCAGATCAGGCAAGTGAGGCTCCAGCTTCTAGGCTGACAGGAGTAGCTGATGGAAAAGCGGAGGTTTAGACATTAGATTATGTTAGGACATTCTCGTGTATTCGACTTTTGCTGTAATTATTATTTGTAATGACAAACTAAGTCATATTTTGTAATACTATATTGTTAAGAATTATGCTCAATCAATACAGGTTGATTTCCTTGATGTTATCCATGAATGCCTATTTAAGAGGGGTTATTATGTATTGCTGAGATTTAGTGGATTACGTTTATAACCTTAGGTTGTGACATTAGACAATCGTACCTCGATTAATTAATAGATCTATAGGATAAAACAAGATGAAAGATTAGGTAGACCAAACCAATCTTCTTCTTCTAATCGTTATTAAATTAAAAAGTTCATAGGCTCCTTAGGCTTTCTTAAATTGATGTCTTGCATGACCATTGGGGATGTTAATTTAGAGAAAAGAATATTAATATTGCATGACCATTGGATATTAATAGTATTCATATGAATGATTATTAATCACAAGGAAATTAAATTTAGATCTAATTAGAAAAATAACATAAAAGATTGAATGAGAACGCCAATATGCCCTAGGTTTTTCTCCGATAAGTGTAACCAAGACGTGCTTTGTGTTTCTTGCTCTTAGTTTTATAATTGATTTTCTAAATTCTGGTGTTGATTATTCTCCCATATTTGAAGCTCAAACAATTAAATTAGGAAATTCTTAGTAATTGGTAAACAATCCTTGTGGGACGATAATTCGGGAACTTAATTTAAAGAACCCTTTATTACTTCTCGATCGGTACACTTGCCCTCCAAACAAGTTTTTAGCGCCATTGCCGAGGATTACTTTTTCAATATTAAGAAAATCTTAAATTTAATTGATTTAAGCAATTTGTATTTTATTTTATTTTAATTCTGTTTTGTTTATTGTTAAATTTTTTATTTTTATTTTTTTAATTTTCGTATTTATTTTATTTTAATTTTTTTCTTATTTCATAATTTCTTTTAATGTATGCTCACTCGTTCTAAGTGTTCTACAACTTGTTTATTTTATCTGGAGATTGAAAGGACAGTTCGTAGACAAAGAAAAGAAGTAAGAGAGCAAAGAATGGCAGGGGGAAGGAGATCAATCCAAGACTACATGACACCCAATGCCAAAGGCACTCCTGGAAGCATCGCGACACCTAATGTGGAGGCAAACAATTTTGAGTTGAAACTAGCACTCATAACCATGGTTCAGAACTCCATACAGTTTGGAGGCATGCCTAATGAAGACCCCAATTTACATCTGACAAAGTTTCTCCGGTTGACGGACACCATAAAATACAACGGAGTCTCCAAGGATGCTATTCGACTCCGCCTGTTCCCATTCTCAGTGTCTGAAAGGGTGAATGCATGGTTTTCCTCACTCCTAGCCAATTCCATCACAACTTGAGAGGATCTCACTCAACAGTTCTTGGGAAAGTATTTTCCTTCATCAAGATCTTCCAAGCTGATGACAGAAATATGTTGCTTCCAACATAATGAGACAGAATCACTGTTCGAGGCGTGGGAGCGATTCGAGGAATTATTAAGAAGATGTCCGCACCATCACTTTCCAATTTGGAGGCAAGTGCAAATCTTTTACAGTGGGTATGGACCACGATTGATGCCGCCGCAGAAGAATCTCTTATAAGGAAAGACCCAGATGACGCATACAGATTGATAGATGAAATGACATCTGCTAGCTTTCAGTGGCACACAGCTGACACATATAACCTCAAAAGAAAGGAAGTTGCACCAGTCTATCAAGCAGAGAGCAGCAACCCACTAGTAAGCCAAATGACAACTCTCACAAAGCAACTGGAGTGCTTAATGAGAGCACAAGATCAACCCACAAAGTTGGCGCATAATACAGAGTTTGATCAAGAGGAAGCAAACTTTATGGGTAATAATTATAACCCAGGATGGCGCAATAGCAATACAACTCCTTGGGAAAGCCGCCAAGGAAATCAAAATGCGCCCTATTTACCCCCCCATGTGCAAAATCAAGGGGAGAAGCTAGAAAGAAGAGAAGCTCCTAGATTTCAATCCAATTTTCAAGAACAAATGATGCAATACGTGCATAGCTCTGACAAGAGAATAGCAAAACTTGAGGCACAGATGGAACAACAGATTGAGAGGGAAGATAAGAGGTTTGCAGAAATCAGAGCTGAGATGAGGACTCAGTCAACATGCACGACCGAGCTTAAGCTCAAAGCACGGTTGTGCTTATCAAAGAGCAATGGCATGCTTGGCTGTTTTCTCCTTAAATCATGATCAAAATGCCTAGTAATTCTCCAAAACCCTTAGCCAGCTAACTGTGACAATTAATAGCATAATCAATGTAAAGCTTATTCAAAATTGAGAATAAATGCATAAGAATAAGCTCTAAAGGAGTGCTAAAATATGGACTTTATGGGCCATCATCTTTGTAAGCACTAAATCTTTCAACCACTGCTCCATATTGTCGATCATTACTATTACAAACATTCACCACTAATACCATCATACTTTTATCACTTCCACTATTGCTTCACCATTATTGCTTGCCACCCTAATTACCACCACCATTTATTATTATGACTACTATTGTTATAATTGTTAAGAGTGTGGTTCTTGCCATTGATTAACATATTCATTTTTTCCTCTTCTATCACTTTGACATCATTATTTCCTATATGACAATTGACTATCATTGACCACTGTTACTACTACTATGCTATTGTCATTGTTGTTGCCATATCTACTCTCACTTTATTGTCAATCATAGGGGCTATCACTGGGATAGCTATTATTAATCACAACTTTTATTATTATCTTACTTTAAATGAGAGATTTTTATGTTTTAGATTTATTTTAAAAAATAAAAATTATAAAAAATTAAACAAAAATGATAAAATATTATTTAATATTCTTTTTATTTTTATTTATTTATCACTTACAAATGTTTAAGATTAATTTTATTTTCTTAATTTTACTTTTAACTTAAAATAAATAATATATATATATATATATATATATTATTTCTAAGTTCTAATTCTAAATGAATATTTTCAGTAGTCATATTGAACATTTAATTTTGAATAATTTGATAAACTTAATTAATAGCTGACAAAATTAGTAAGTTAGTAATACAAATTTTAAATATATAATGACAAAATAAAAACATAAAATAAGGAGTTAGATTTAAAAATATTGAGAGATATAATTGTATTTGTATATTATATAAAAATTTTCACCTCTAAGAATAGATTCACACCTTTCGAATGGAAATGTTTTGATAAGAAACTTCATTAAAAAAATAATTTTGAAAATTTTAGTTTCTTAAAAATTCTTTTTAAAGCATTGTATCGAAGCATAAAAAATTAACATTCTTTAAGATGTTTTAGAAAAATAAAGGGAGAGAAGGAAATATGTAGAAAGAAGAGAATAAAAACAAACTAATAAATAATATGATAAAAGGAGAGAAATAAAAAATAAAATCGATGAAAGTTTATTAAACTAAAATGATAAAGCATTTGATAAAATAATAAGTTTATCAGTTTCTATGCACTCAAACAATGAAACTTACCTGCATCTAATTATAGATGACTAAACATTAAATTTTTTTTAAAAAAATAATGCTATTATTTTCAATATTTGATAGTTTGTACATATTGCATTATAAATATTTATATGACTATATAAATCATATATAATATCAGTCTGTATAAATAATAAATCAAGTTTAATAAATTTTATGATTTAATTGTTACGCAGATAAATTGATTATTTATTTTATAAAATATTTGATCAATTCTTTTGATTTAAGGTTAAAAAAATCACATGCACGGTCTCTTTAGGTCTAAAAGACTTAAAATTAATATCTGCTCATGATTTGTTATTATTATCAGTTTAAAAATACACGGTAAGGTTGACAGAACTTATTGTTAAATAAATAAATTATATATTAATTATATACGTATGTGAACATAATATAGCGTTATTTCACAAACCTACTCTTCGATTTAAATTATTTTATTTTAAAAAATGTGAACTCATTAAATGAATATTGATAAAAAAAAATAAGTGCTTATCATAAATATAATTTATGCTCTTAAACATGAATTTGTCCTATATGGAATATTTTATTTCACCTTGAAAAAACAAAGCTCATGCACGATACGTTATGCTTCTCTCTGCCAGTGTAAGTTAATCCTCAATGTCGAGATCATTCAATTAATAGGTTTAGAAAAATTATCTGATTGACAGTTGAGTGTGAAGGTAGATAAGTGAAAAGCAATAGACTAAAAAAGCAAATGTAAGTGTAAGTTAAATGTAAAAGAAATAAAAATAAAAATAAAAATGTAACAATAATAATAAATTAGTATTTATTAAATAATAAATATAAATTTATTTACGTTTCTGAAAGTAGAGTAGTGAGAAATAGAGAGGATTATGGAAAAACAATTAAGCAGTAACAGAATAATTCAACATTTAATGAGGAGCTCCAAAATACGAAGCACAAACCCCACCCCAACCGATTATTACACTTTTCAACACTGGACAAACGGATAAGCATAGCCGTCCACCCCTCTGTTCTCATCCTCACTACTCACGTACTTATGTTGTTGACCTCTCCCTCACACGCTATAAATTCACCAACTCTACCTCATTCCTTTTCACCTACACTCACACACTCAGCTTCTAAAACCCACACATTTTCTCTCTCTCTCTCTCTCTTCAACAATGACGCCATCTCCCTCCTCCCTTCACGTGGAGGCACCGCAGCCCGGCCCAAGCCCGTTCCGAAAGATGATCGCCGTGGCATCAATTGCCGCCGGTGTGCAATTCGGTTGGGCCTTACAGTTATCCCTTTTAACCCCTTACGTTCAGACGCTCGGAGTGCCTCACGCTTGGGCCTCCTTCATCTGGCTCTGCGGCCCAATTTCCGGCCTGCTTGTCCAGCCCATAGTGGGTTACTCTAGCGACCGTTGCACCTCTCGCTTCGGTCGCCGCCGCCCGTTTATCCTCGCCGGCGCCCTCGCCGTCACCCTCGCCGTCTTCCTCATCGGCTTCGCCGCCGACCTCGGCCACGCCCTCGGCGACGATATCACCAGAAAGACTCGTCCACGCGCCGTCGGGTTCTTCGTGGTCGGCTTCTGGATCCTCGACGTCGCTAACAACATGCTCCAAGGCCCCTGCCGCGCCTTCCTCGGCGACCTTGCCGCCGGCGACCACCGCAAAACGAGAACGGCCAACGCCTTCTTCTCATTCTTCATGGCCATCGGTAACGTACTCGGATACGCTGCCGGGTCTTACGACAACCTCCACCGTCTCTTTCATTTCACGGAAACCAAAGCCTGCGATGTCTTCTGCGCTAATCTCAAAAGCTGTTTCTTCCTTTCAATTTTACTTCTTTTAGTTCTCTCTCTTATTGCGCTCGTTTGCGTAAACGACCCTCCAATTACACCACGTTGTGGTGGTGATAATAATAATGAAGGAAACGACGCGGTACCGGGGTCACCGTTTACGTGTTTCGGGGAATTGTTTGGTGCGTTTAAGGGGCTCCAGAAGCCGATGTGGATGCTGATGCTGGTGACGGCTATTAATTGGGTGGCGTGGTTCCCGTACGTGTTGTTCGACACTGATTGGATGGGGCGTGAGGTGTACGGTGGTAACGTGGGGGACAAAGCATACGATTCGGGAGTGCGTGCTGGGGCGTTGGGGCTCTTGCTCAATTCCGTGGTTCTGGCTTTCATGTCGTTAGGGGTGGAACCGTTGGGTCGTTTCGTTGGGGGCGTTAAGTGGTTGTGGGGCATCGTTAACGTTATTCTCGCCGTTTGCATGGCCATGACGGTGGTCATCACCAAGGCTGCTCAGCATGAACGGCACTTTAACGGCGTTGCCGTTGGTAGCCCCTCTCACGGCGTGAAAGCTGGCGCCTTGGCTTTTTTCTCCGTCCTTGGTGTCCCTCTTGCGGTATGCTTTTAATTCTTACCATTTTTGGAGATTTAAGAAATCTTTTCTAACTTTCTTTTCACTTTTAAGATTTTTTTTCAAGCAACCAAAACTAATAATTAAATTATTAAATATATATATATATATATATATTTTTTTTTTTTTATTGCATTTTTATAATTTTAATATAATGAATTAAATTTTTTTTTTCAATCAAAACTTATCCAGAGGCTTTAAACGCACTCCATTTTTTGAATTTAAAAAACATTTCAAATTTTCAAAATCATTAAATGCTATTTAAGTGATTTAGAAAATGTTTCAAAAGTTTTAAATCTTTAAATGCTTTTAAGATAATTTAGTAAGAGAATATATAATACTTAATTCGTAATAAGTGTCCTTAAATGATCATAAAGATCATTTTTAAGATGGTATAAGATTATTTTATTCCATGATTGTTTATTCTACTGAAAAAATTAATTGTTTTACGTTTCACTTCTCTAATTAGTTGTCCAATCAAATAAAATTTATATTTTCCTTAATTATTATAATCAATATTTAATTTAATTAATGACATATAATGTGATTTTATGTATCGTTTTAAAATTAATATTTTATTAATTAAATTTTAATAATTTTCAAAATTAAAAGCATTGAATACTTTTATGATTTTATTAATTAAAATGTAAGATTTTTCAAAATTAAGTTTTTTCTATAATTGTTTATAAAATACATATGCATTTAGATTGTATCACACACTAAAAGAATTAATATTTATAAATCTGTGCAATGATAGGGAATTTTAATAATTTTTTTATAACTAATTTAAAAGTAAAATTTCTTATGTATGAATCTGAAATATTTTCATGTGTGTGTCAAAACTGTGGTTTATTGTTTGAGATTTGGTATGCTTGTTTTGCACAAGTAAATTATTGATCCCGAGAAATTTTTACCGTTATCCTTTATCATTATTATTATTATTGTTGCACTTTTACGGCCTATCAATTGTTGGTAAGTATTACTTTACTTAATTTACAGCCTATTAATGACACTCTAAATATATAACAAAGCACTGAAAAGAATATTTGAATATTTATATATTTTTTTCTTATCTCTTTCTTCCTGATCTGTTCATTCCGCGTCAACAAGTAAAATGTCAACGGATCATTACTCAAAATATACATGTAATAAAGATCCATGTTTTTATGGAGGGTTGAGGGGCTTGACGACACAAGAAAGTGACGTTAGCAATTGACTGTTAGTAAACGAAGAAAACTTAGCTTCTTTTTAATTTTTTTTTCTCTCTTTTTAATTTCATCACTTAGCTTTTCTTCGTTTCTTTTTCCTTAACAATGTTACAAGAAATACATGTGAAAATAATTAACAGTAAACTAAAATATTCTCTTGACTGTGTGTCTGCCCAGATTACTTACAGCGTTCCATTTGCTCTAGCATCTATATACTCCAGCACTACAGGAGCAGGCCAAGGTAAAGCAATTCGTACCATTAAGCATAATTATCAGTAAATTTTATGAAATTTTTTCTTAAAATAATTAAGCTTTATTAAAACATGTACTTAGTAAAAACAATTATAGAATTTATCAGCTAATATATAATCAGTTGTGAATAAAAAATGTATTAACTTCATTTTTGCTTCACAAATTTCAGGTTTATCTTTGGGTGTCCTCAATGTTGCAATTGTCCTGCCACAGGTTAGACTTCATATGTCTATCACTTAATTACAGTATTTTATAACTTATTAAGAATTGTACATACAATGTTGAGAAGTTCTCTAAGAATACATTTGCCAAGACAATTGTTTTAATAGTTTCTCAGACTGAAATTTGTTGAAGATTATAAAAATGTAATTCAGTAGTTAAATTAAGAATAAATTTTTAATCTTGTAATTTTTTAGAATATATTAAATTTTGATTTTGTTTTTATTTTAGTTTCTACATTTTAAAATTACAAAGTTTGCTTTTTCACTGACGTGCCTTTACAAAAAAGCGACATGTGTCATAAAAAAATGGCGCAACAGTAAATTTTGAGAGACAAAAAATATATTTAATTGAGAATGATGTTATTTTAGGAATTATTTGACTAAAACACGCAAATAATGCAGTTGGTAGTGGCGGCACTAAGTGGACCGTGGGATGCTTTGTTTGGCGGTGGAAACTTGCCGGCTTTTGTGGTGGGTGCTGTGGCAGCCGCCGTGAGTGCCGTGATGGCAGTGGTGCTGTTGCCAACTCCAAAGCCAGCGGACGTGGCCAAGGTTTCAACCCTTCCGGCAGGGGGTTTCCATTAATATATATAGCTTTTTTACATGTTTCATTTTTGTCCCATGCTTTTGACATGGAAAAATGGATAGGCTCTTTTCATTTCAAGTTCATGCATGTGCACCTAATGTTTCCATTGCCATTTTTGCGGCATTCCATCAATCATATTATTTGTATAGTAATTTGGTGTGGTAAGACAGGAAAAAATTAAAAGTAATGCTTCACATTACAGTAGTATTAAAGCGTTTTGAAATGAGTCGGGGTATTTGCGCCAACATACGAATTATTTTTACTGAACCTTGTACTTTGGTATTCCCTAATTTGCCCTTTTCTTACACCGGGAGCACACACTTGTTTTGAACTATATATAGCTATTAGATTGCTGGCAATTGGAAGAGTTGAGCATAGTTTTGGATCTTTTATTTAGTAAAATTATATAAATAATTTACTAACGCAGTTTTATGCAAAGAAAAGAAATACTAGAAAGTAATGCGAGTAGAATCAAGGGGTAATACTAATTAGGTATTCTTTCCAAGACAAGGAAAATGGCGTAACTTTTTTTTTTATTCTATATTTTTTATTAGATACTTACAAATTTCTTGGCAGAGTAACCCATTTTGAATTGTGGGTGAGAAGGTAAAGGATGTGGATGACATAGAAGAGAAAAGAACGTGACGGTAAGGGGAAAAAAAGGTGAGAAATAGAGAGAGAGAGCATTGTGATGCATTATTAATAGAAAAGGGTTACTACATAATTATGCCAAAAGGTTATAAATTTATGTTAAAATTTATTGATCTGTTACAAAGTCAAGTCAATTGAAAAAGCTAAAAGCTTATTGGGATAAGTTACAAAACTATTATTAAAACTTATCTCCCTGTTAGAATGATATTGGAAAACCGGCAAACAAAAGGAGAGGTTTTAAGACACGTTCAAATAAAAGGACAACCACACACAAAGATCACCACCATTCCCCATCAATAACCAGCTGTCTTTCACATGAAACCCGAAAAGTTCAGAGCTTCGATGTATGGCGTTAAGATGTCCAGTATTGCTCACTTTCAGATTGAAAAACTTTTCAGTCATAGTATGTGTATTTGTATATGAGAAAGCATAGTTTCCCAATGAAGGTAGAATATTTGATCAATAGTTTATATGCTGTGTTCTCGACTTCCTTAGTACAAACTCCTTAAGCGACATAACTGATGGTATTGGTAAGTTGTTTTGTCAAATATTTGGCAGCCCTTTTATGCAATTGACTATATTGGGGAGCAGAAATAAAGATAAAATAATAATTCATATTTTTCATTGGAACTTCCTAATTTCATCGTTTAAGTCATTTCATTTTGTCATTGGAACTTGAAAATTTTATCGTTTAAGTTAGCTGTTAGAAAACAGCAATTTCATCAAGAATTAAAGAATTTCTGATAAACAACATGGAAAATATTACATGATTTATGTGTAGGAAGTTTCCATATAATTCGTATCAGTAGTCAATAATAGGTGTATGAATGGAAATTTAAATGTTGGTTGTAGTTGGACCAAGGCCATATATGTTCACAGGAGTAACATATCAGATACCTGAATCATTTAAAAAAAAGCTAAAGGAATCTTAGAGTATGAATGAAAGGATAAGCTTATTAATTTAGCAGAAAAGAGCCAAAAAGTAAATGGCTGCAGTTGAGATCGGAACGGGGTTCTATAAGGTGTGTTTGAAAGTTAGGCGATTTGAAGAGAAATTAAAGGAGATCAGAGCAAAATTTGTCTAATAAATGTTTAATAATATCATTTTTTAATAAAATAAAATAAAAAATTAATATAATGTTAATATGTTAAAATAATTTTAATATAAAAATAAATATTTATCTTATTTTTTTCTCTTCAAAACTCAATTTACAAACATAACTTAGAGTGTCAATAACTATTGTTTGGTTCCATGTCATCATATACAAATCAAATACTGAAACCAACCAAATAACTTCCTATTTACTACTTCTAGAATAGTACCTACGAAAGCTTCAAACAACTATTGAATTGTGATACAATCACAGATAAAATCGTAGATCCATCAGTCAACTGTAATACAAATTTCATGCACATAATGTGTACTTGCTGCCAATTACTAAACACTCCCATCATTACAAATGTCTAGCTTGATGTTTAATTGTTAACGAGTTTTAAAGCAAATGGAGTAATCAGGAATTGGAGTCACCATGGCAAACATATTATCATAAATATATGTAGGACTAAGCATATTGCATTTTGAATTAAATTGAATATATTATGATAAGATGTGTTATAGAGGAAAAAAATTTTTGTGCTTTCATTGTATACACATAATAACTACGGTGCCACGGTGGCTTTCCAATGTCTCTGGCTATGGAACGCGGTAAAGCTTCGCGGAATTTTCGCAAATTGCTTGCTAAGAGCCACGTATAGGTGATAAGCTAGTGTTATTGTTGTGGAAGAAAACCTCGTACTTTGCTTGAGCAGAGACATGAATTATTACTATAAGCCACTGATGGTGCAACATGAATCTTCCTACGTGTCGGACATTATCCACTACCACTAGTTTTTCATTTTAGTGTGGATAGTTTGTCATTTAGCATTGCTATATATAAATCGGAAACTCAGTGAGATATATATAATCGTGAAAATAGTTCTTAATAATATATTTTTTTATGATGATTCTTAATAATATTTATACTTTGATATCTGGCTAGAAATAAATATGCTATGCACTTATCTTAACTAGAGCATAAAAAAATTCAGATTAGCGATTCAAGCAGTCACGATCATCTTTATCATAAATAAAGTATAATTTAAATTACGTATGAGAAATAATGCCTATGTGAATAAATATTATAGAAAAAAATATTAATATATCTTTCATAATAAAATAATATTTTACATACGATACAAAATCATTGCAAATAGTATTCATAATGTCATATATTTTTCGTTGTTTAACTTTTTAATAAATTCACTATAATTTGTATAATTTTTTAATTTCAATCTATATGAATAAAGCTTCAATCAATCAATTCAAGTTAGCACATGTATATATATATATATATGAATGACAATCACGTCATAATAGTTTCAAATAAAATTAAATTACTCAAATAATTTTTCAATATAAAGAGCAAATCTTGGTCATTTTACAAGAACATAAATTCATTATGTTTCTAATTTTTAAACATGCAATAGTAATTAGATTGAGGGTGATTTTTAAGAAATTAAACAGAAACATAAATTGGCTACAAAGAATTGAATTAAACTCCCAAAAAAATATAGAAAACGAATTAACCTAGAATTAAATAAAGAACGAAAGCAATTAAAACAAATGCAAATCAAAACAATTGAATGCAGATTAAAAACAAAAACACAGATTAAAGCCAATTAAAAGAACACGAATTGAACCCAGAAATCAAAGATGAATTAAAAGCAAAACAAAAGTAATTTAAACAAAAACAGATCTAAAAATGAAAATGGATATAAAAATGAAAATGAATCTAAAGACAAAAACAAATTTAAAAACGAAAAGGAATTTTAAAAATGAAAACAAAAAATAATTTAACCCAAAAAAACAAAAATGAATTGAAAATGAAATGAAATGAAACGAAATGGAAAACAAAAATGAAATGAATTAGAAGCAAAACTCAGAAATCGAAAAACAAATGCAGATTAAAACGAATAAATGCAATTAAGACAAATGCAATTAAAATCATGAATCACAGGCATGAACTAGGATTACTATACCAAATTTGCCTAAATCTCAAATGCAAAAGAAATCAATCGATCAATATTACACTCAAGAATAAAATCAAATTCAATCAAATTATGCATCCACCAATCTTACTCAAGAATTGTGAAAAAGTAAAAAAGACAAACTCGGAATGATCAATCGATCTGGCAGCCCACGCTTGTGACAAGATGATTCGCGAGAAAATAATAGTTGAGAACGTAGCATAATCCGAAAAAAGACAAGTGAATGAAACGATAAAAAAGGTTCTCTCAAAAGCGAGAAAAAATCTTTACAGAAAAATGAAATTATGAAAAGGAAGTAGTCGAAAATTAACCTTTTGACCCCTATACATATTAGTCTTAAATGAAAACAAAAATAAATGGGCCTAGGCTGTGCAAGTAATTAAAATAAAAGCCTAAATATAAAATGTATGTTTTAAGTCTGAACTTCAAAAATTAATAGAAAATAGCTTTGAATTCATATGTCCAAATTGAAGTCCAAAAAGTTAGGAATCCATTGCAGAAAGAATCAGCAAAAAAGGAGATCTACATAAAAAGTTATGGTCGAAATAGTAGACAAAGGTCAGAATAGCAAAAATATGAAATATGAAAACTCTAATTTAATGTAAGAAATGCAAAAACATGTTAAATGAAATAAATAAAGAAGGAAAGATATTTTGGAAGATGCAATAAGGCTATAAATGTGAATACAAAATATGAATCATCAATGAATAAATAAATTATTGCTGGAAAATAATATACTTAATATATTAATTATTATTTTTATTTTATTATTTAAAATTAATTGTTATTAATACTAATATTTATGTGTGGGTGGACATTTACACGTAATGTGTAAGAACAGTTATATGTAATGTTACAATTCGTTAGTCGTTAGGGTGATATATATATATATATATATATAAAACTTACATCTAACGGGTTATAATTTATTACTTCAACGACTATTAGATGTCAGTTAAATAAAAATTTTAGATTGAGTATAAGAATTTTTTGACTTACACTAATGTGAGAAGATTCTTCCCCTTGGAAAATAGTACACAACACTTTTTTCTTATTATTTATTTTTTTTGGGTTACAAAACTATCTCTTTCTAGTTCTTGATAGCTTCGGTCTTCAGCCAAGAAGAGTTTGATGAATCTTAGAGAATTTTTGATTACACTGGAATAATCCTTTGAGGATAGTGTTCTACATGCCTCAAACTAATTTTGTGCAATTATTTTGAGTCAAAATTTTACATCAATTTCAAGAATTATGTCTGAATCAACAAACAATGAAACCTCCATAAAAAATGCTTCAAATAACCATGAAATTGATGGACTCAATGTGAATTCACCTACCCCAATTGTTCCTGCAGCCAAGTATTCAAAACATTTTCCAGATGTGTCAAAGATATAGATGTTTCAAGGAAAAAACTTCAAACGATGAGGAGCATGTCTATTCTGCTCTTGACTTACACT